GAGCCTGCTAAATCCGAAATTAGGAAGGTAAAAAAATAATAGGTCTAGCAGGTCTGGAGGACTTCTGGTAAATGATGGGGTGAATAAATGTATTGATGAGTCAAAATACAATGAGTCGATATTTATGTATTGTATAAACCTGTGAGAGTTTAATATGTATAAACTAAATAGTGAGACTTTGGGTTAGAATAGCAAACTGAAGAGAAAATGCCCCAACATCTTAGATACACAGTATGAGAAATGTGGGAGTACTTAAAAAAAAAAAAAAAAAGTTTTTCATGAATGCTCAATGAAGATTTGAAATAAAAGACAAGAAATACCTTTGCCTGTATGCTCGGTTTTACTTCAAAAAGTGGTCTAGAAGATATCAATTTGAAAATCAATTGCTTTAAAAAATAGATTGTTTCACATGTATGCGTTCGCACAAGCCCCTCCTTAGCATGTTTATTCTTGGCAACAGCACTCTCTTTTTATTTTAATTTTGATTTTTTTCTCTGCTTAAAATCTTATGCATGACATGGGAAACTTATTATAAAAGTACTGTTTTTTTTTCTCTTTGGTTTATTGTAGTTGATAGTGATTTTAAGACTTACTAGTGTTAGTACTATATACAGAAAAAAAATAGCAGAAATGTTACTGTGGTGGATATAGAGGAGGACTGAGCATGAAACTCAATATGCTTCTGGGGACTTTGGTAAATCTTTTCCCCTTTTTTGTTAATAATCGCTTGTACACCTGCAGGTTTCACTTTGAGTTTCTGGTTTGAATAAGTTCAAGGCTATTTGTGAATAAGTCAAAAGAATTTGCTGGTCCAAAATGCAGCAACATCTTCCTTGAATGGAATAGTTCCCAAATCTGCATATGGTTTTGTTTGTTTGTTCCTACTGCGGCAATCAAATAAAAGAAATGGAAATGATTGTAGAGAGGAGTCAAAGAGGAGGAGAGTGGATGGACACTCTTTTGCAGTTTCATGTTTTGAGGAGTCACTTTACTGTCTTTTGCTTTTCTAGCTCTTGACAGAATCCCTAATTAATTTGGAGAGTTCTCTTCTCGTATCTGTTTAAGAGATCATTCAGTGTGTTTTAACATACAGATATTTTCAGGGTGTTTGGTGATTATGATATTAATTTTGTCTTCCTAAACTTAATCAATAAAAATTCAAGAGGAAAAAAACATGCCAGTAGGGGCAATGGCTTGGTGACAACATGACTTTATCAGTCTGGTGATCATGATGGGATGTCTGTTCGTTGAAAGTGGCACTTGAAAGGGACACTGACATACTTCCTTCTCAAAATATACGTTTAAGCCTTCTGCCTTCCCCCATGTGCTTAAGGTCAAAAAAACCCTAGTATTAAATGTCTTATTTGAATTGATAAGGAAGAGTTATCGGCGACTAACTCAGCTTGAATTTACAGTAGAAATTCTTACAAAATTCTTTGCACATTGCTTTTTCATAGGATTACATTATTTTCCTTATGAATCAAATGTGTCTGAAGATTCAGAAAATCCTATAATTGCACATAAAGAAGCTCTGAATTTACCAGAAGCTGTAAAAATCCTGAAATTTACTGAAAGTATTGTATAACCAAATATTCAGATCTCCCACTTTTTTTTTCTTATTTTATTCACTACTGAAGAGGGTTCTTAGGTGTTGGGTTTTTTTCCTTTTTAGACAGTTCTTAATTCTCACCTTGATAAGGTCTCTTGATTGTAACTCAAGAGTTTTGGGTTTTTTTTGCCATTTTTATATTTCTGTTCTGGAAAAATATAGCAAAGCAGGATTTCAGTTTGTCAAAGGAACCAGTATGAAGACTTGTTCCTCAAAGTAGATCTAGTCAGTGCTTAAAAAAATCCAGAAAAACATACAAATGGCTAGAGCTGGTAAGATTCGCCCAGCAGGCATTTTGTTCTTCTAATCAAAAAGCAGGAAAACAGAATTTTATTCAGTATTATTTAAGCTCTGATGAGATTCTTGTCAGTATGAGCTGCAGCTCTATTTTTTGTCACATAACAAATCTGACTGCAGTCTGTCTGATCAAATAAGTACCATTTTATCTATCCTTTTCATGAAAATTGGTTCTCCAAGTGCCAGGTGTATGGGAAGCTACACAGCTGTTGGTTCAAATAAATGAATTGAGATTCAGTAATCATTTATCCAACCAGTATGCTGCTGAATCTACAGAAATGGAATTTTACACAGAAAGCTCTTTATGATAGCTATGATACGTACAGAGAGAGTGAGCCATCCAGTGTGGATTTGTCAGCTGGAAATGAAGCAGAGATGATGACTTTAGCTCTCCATTTGCTCAGTCATTTGCGCCATGTGTTCCCTGTTACATGGGCATAGCTGTGCTGTCTCCACTGTTGGGCTAGGCTTACCCTCAGCCCTGCCAACCACATCCTGTTAAAATGTCCTTAACAGCATCCAGTTCCCAAATCTTTAAGTCTTTGATTTCTGGGATCTGAGAGAACTCTGGAAGTTCAAAGTCCAGTTGCCAGTTGCCTGTGCCTGGTTTAGTTACACCAGCTACAAAAAAAGTCCAAGGCAGAAAGCAGGTGGAATATGCCCTGAGCCTGTCTGAAAGCTGTACATGCCTACTCCTAATGAGTTCTGGTATCAGGAATAACACAGGTGGTAGGAGGACAAGTGAACATATGTAGATACTTCTGTAAATGCCAGACAGACCAAGTCCAAAGGACGCAGAGCAGCTCAGATTGTTCCAGTATTAACCATCATATTAAAGACATGCTACGAAATATTCTCAAACAACAGATATTGACTTTAGTGGTTCAGTGGCCTTTATCATTTAACTATGGAATAGTTAGGTGACTCAAGATGTTCTTGTAAAGGAAAATCATTAAATTGAAGAACAGGATACTTGCTGGTGGTCTTTTGTTGCTAGTCTTTATACTCATTAGAGTTGTTCCTGTCCTCAGTTGATTGATTTCTTGCATCAGGTTGGTCCTCATCCTGTAAGGTGCGGTGGTGGGTTGACCTTGGCTGGCCACCAGGTGCCCACCAAGCCACTTTATCACTCGCCCTCCTCAGCAGAGCAGGGGGGGAAAATAGAATGGAAAAGCTCATGGGTCAAGACGAGGACAGGAAGATCACTTACCAATTACTATCACAGGCAAAACACTCAACATAGGGAAATTAATTTAATTCATTGCCAATTAATAAGGCAGTAGGATAATGAGAAATAAGAACAAAAATAAAAAATCTTCACCTCACTCCTCCCTTCTCAGGCTTAGCTTCACTCCCAACTCTTCTACCTCTGTCTCGCTCAAGTGGCACAGGGGAAGAGGGAATAGCACTTGTGGTCAGTTCATAACGCTTTGTTTCTCCTGTTCCTTTCTCCTCTTGCTGCTTCCCTGCTCCAGTGTAGGGGCCCTCCCATGGGATAGAGTCCTTCACAAAAATTCTCCAATGTGGGACCTTCCCACAGGCTGCAGTTCAAAAACTCCAGCATGGGTCCCTTCCAGGAGGTACAGTCCTTCAGGAAAAGACTGCTCCAGTGTGGATCCCCTATGGGGTCTCAAGCCCTGCTAGAAAACCTGCTCTGTGTGGGCTCTTTTCCATGAGTTGCAGTTTCTGCCAAGAGCCTGCTCCAGTGTGAGCAGACCAAGGGTTGCAGCTTCCGTCAGGGCATGTCCACCTGCTCCAGCATGGGGTTCTCCATGGACTGCAGTGTGGATATCTGCTCTGGCGTGGTCCTCTGTCAACCAAGGGAACAACCTGCTTCACTATTGGCTTTACCATGGGTTGAAGGGGAACCTCTGCTCCTCCACCTGGAGCACCTCCTCTCCCACCTTCTTCACTGACCTTGGTGTCTGCATGGCAATTTCTGTCACATTTTCTCACTTCTCTCTTACAGCTACTATGCAGTATTTTTTTTTACCCTTTCTTAAATACGTTGTTGTGGAGATCCCGCCAACATCACCGATGAACTTGGCTTTAGCTGGCACCAAGCCCATCTTGGAGCCATCTGAAGCTACTGTCTCTTTCTGACATGGGGGTGGCTTCTGGTGTCTTCTCACAGAAGCCACCTCTGCAGCCCTCCCACTACCAAAACCTTGCCACATAAACCCCATGCAGGTGCACACAAATCCAGTGAACCGATAACACTATTTATGTTTAAAGTTTAACCCCAGTTTGAACCCTAGGTTTATGCAATGAGCACCAGAGTTCTCAACCCTTGCAGGCTTGAGCCTGTTAAGAAAAGGATGCGTAAAGTTCTCTGACAGTGTTCCATGTCAGACACCCTTTTACACTACTTCTCTCCCTGCAAAGGAACAAATATATGAGAAAGAAGAGTATTGCAGAAGCTGTATCTCCACAGTATGTCAGCACCACCAGTGTGTGGTGCTGTCCTCACACTCCTCTCTTGAAACAAGAACCACCATTTACTGTCATACAGCATGTACATGTTTTCCTTGTCTCAGTGCTCTCCCTCAGATGTCTTGAGGTTAGGTAAGACTGGAATTCTCTCAGTGCACTAGTGTTTAAAAGAAAATAGGGACAAAAACTTGGTCATGTACTTAACCGTAACCAGGTCCTGCACTGGAGAACACTTAAAAAACTCATGTTGTATTAGTTGTCTAAGACAAAGAAAGAAATCTTTCAAGACGAAGCATTCAGGAATTTCTCATCCCTCAAACTTTGTTTCTCTCTCCATCTCTCACTAACTCATTTCTTTGATGTTTAAGATACGATCATGATTTGTTAGCTAGTGACTTCCTATGAAATGTAAATAATACCAGGAGGTTGTTGGAACGCCTAATGAGTGTAGAGTGTGTGTTTAAGCATGTACAGGATTGAGATTCTGATTTGTTAGTAGTTATTTCTAAACTATGGATGAAGGTTTTTACAAGCCATGAACAGTTGTTTTAAAGTTAATTGGGAATACAGTATAAAAGAATATTGCATATTATCTGGTTTTGCCCATTGTTGGCTTTGAAATGAACTTGTCATGACTCCTTGTCTGGATTTTTTTTCTTTCAGATGGAGCAAACACATGATGATATAGATGAAATGTTCAGCAATTTACTTGGGGAGATGGATATGCTGACCCAGGTAAATAATTCTTTTTTTCCATCAAGATTAGAAAAACAGCTATTATGTATTAGAGAAAAGAGGCAACTTTTCTACATTTTTTTCATTTAACTCTACTCTGAATAAATACAGATAAATTATTTTGAAAAACCTTCAACTAAATTTTTCTGTTTGACATTTAAAAAAAATAACCTGAAGAATAAGGTAATATCAGTGCAGGCTAGATTGTTATGGAGAGCTAACTGTTTATGAAAGACGCTTTCTCCAAAAAAGCAAATAAGCAATTCAAATTTCTCTGGACTCAGTCCCAAGAAATTGAAAGATTCTGTCAAAACAGGAAGAGTTTAAGTCAGAATTTTCAGGTATAAATGCTTTATATACATATAGCATGTAGCCTGAGTGTCAAATGCAAACTTTGGAAATGAAAGCAACATTTTGAATATATGCATAAAGGTAATCTTTAGATACAGCAGAATACTAAGTTACAGCTAGGGTGGCATTCAAGAATTTATAGACATTATTGCCAGTGCAGAATACACTCTTGAGAGGAAACTATAAAACAGCATGAGTCTATTTCTAAACCTATAGTTATGGAATACTTCCTGCAAAACCTGATGAAAGGAGAAAATTTATATTTCTAAAAAGAACCCCACAAAGTCAATAATTTTTTTTTTATTTTAATAAATGCATGCTTGAAAACACTTACGCTGTCATCTTGGATTCTGTGAGAGTTTGGTTGCTTACAGCCTGTGCTTTGAGGGGATCTTTCCTCTTGGTGAATCCCAGTGCTTGCCAAATTAAATACCAATAATTCTGAGCCACAGAATAGGAATTGTGCTTAAACTGTGTGAAAGCCAAGATTTCACATGACATTCTTAGCTGGCAAATCACAATACTTTACCCCTTGGTAGCCTTTCTGCTTTTTAAGGGCGTATGCATAACCGTGCATATTTATGTGTATAAAGAAGAGGGGGGGTTAGGGTAATTTAATTTCATTATTATGCCTTGAAAATTAACAAAAGGCTGCTTGTGATAAATTTTACCTCTTCAGATTGGACATAGCACTGTTACCAGTGCAGATGATGGGAAGAGAGTAAGAGAGTGAGCCTTTTCTCTGTCCGCTCATCAATGCGGTATTGGGCAGGACTGGACGTGTTCCTAAGATGGGCACTGACTGCTCCTCCTCTCTGAAGCGCTGGCATCACCTCTTCCCTCAACATTGTATGGGAGAAGGAGACGGGCACGTCTGAAAGCCTGAAGACTTTCAGTTAACAAACTTGCATCTGTTAATTCCTTTAGATTCTGATTTCCAAAATGAGACTGTAGATAGTTTTTCATCCTTTTTCACCAATCTGTTTGTCTGTTCCTAAAGTAAGTGTAAATGATAGAAGCACGCAGGGATGCCTTCACATTGCATAACAAGGCTGAAAAATAAATGCAGATGCAGAATTGGGCTTTTCTACTATTTCTACGTACTTAACTTTAAGCTTTTAGCATTTTGATTGTTTTCTCTTTAATTTCTCTTTGCATGTACTTACATTTTTTTCTGCACTTTTATGGCCAGTATGGGATGTTACAACTTCTTGCTAGATCAGTAATGAAAGTATTTCCTTTACGCTCTTACAGTTTGTTTCATGAATACCTTTTGTACCCTCCCTTTTTCTCTTTTTTTCTTTTTCCTGGAGCACTGTAAAACTATCTCATGTGCTTCATTTCTCCCTCTTCTCCTATTTATACTGCCCATTGTTATGACAATGAATATTAACACAGAAACAGTGTTTAAAGTTATCAGTATTTGGTTTCCAGCTCTGTATAACTTCAGAAGAAACTAACGTGTTCCGGATGGGAAATAGGTGTAAAGAACTGCCAAGAAAAACATTTGCATTAATTTTCATGGAAAACATCTGTCAGTTTCAGGCAACTCAAAGAAATGTAAATGCCTCTGGTACAAATTGAGTATGAGCACCAGTAGACAAACATCTGATAGGGATGTATAGACAAGGATATAGCTTGTAGGATATACGAAGTAATCCTTCAATTCTGCACAGCATTGGTAAGAACTCAACGGGAAAACTGTGTCCAGTGTTAGCACTGCATTTTGAGGAGAAGGAGGTTCCACTGGAGAAAATCCAGAGGAAAGTGATCAGAATCACGAGAAGGAAAAGAAACGTGACCTGTAAGAAATGATTGCACAAGGGTTGTTTAGTCTAGAGAAGAAGAGACTGATAAAAATCTTTGAATACATCAAAGGCAGCATCTGAGCAGAAAGTGGTTCCTCACGTCCGTGGAGAGTAGGACAAAAGGAAAAGGTCTTCAGCTTTAGTGAAGGAAGTTTAGATTGAGCATCACAAGAAAGGTTTGATGGCAGGATTAGTGATCTCAATGGTGAAGCAGTAGAGCAGATTGCCAGAGGTGATACGGAACAGTGAGCTTTTAAAATCAGGTTAGGTTTACATTTTTCAGGTATGACCCAGCTATAACTGCCCTGCCTTAGGACAGGTACGTGGTCGACAGACTGTTGAAATTCCTTCCAGTCTTGTCTACAGTGTTTGCTTATTAGAGCTATCACCTTCCTCTCTGTGGAAGGGATAATTTATCTTTTTGTCTCCACTATGTGCACTTTTCCTGACTTGTGAAGCACCGGTTCCCTGCCTGCTTCCTAAACAGCAAGCCACAAACTAGGAATTCTCTATTTAACTATGCAGATTTGCAGTTTACATTGCAAACAGCAGCATGTTTTGTTTGCTGTTGTGTTTGGGGATTTTTGGAAACAGCATGAGAAAGCAACAGCTAGGTTGCATTTATATTAGTAAATAAAACATTCTGGAGCAAACGGCACTGCATAGTTCAAATGTGTACACAGCTAAACTGTTTTAACACTCTGCCCTCCCTCAGGAGAACCACCAAAAACTAAAAAATCCGTCTGGCTTCATTCTCTGTCTCAATTAGAAACAGCCCTAGCCTCCGCTGTTCCCCACGCCAAGCCCAGGTGTTGCCTGACAAGAGCTGCAGTTGGCATGGATCAGCATTGCACTGAGAAGCATGCAAATCCTTAAACACTTGGCATGATTGTGAGACAGTGCTTGAACCCTTGTCATGGCCCTATTGAATTTACCAGTCTAGGCATAATCCCAGAAACTAGTGTGTGTCTTCTGTTTGCTGAAGAAGAATCGATTTCATTAGACAAATTCAGGTAATAGATTTACAAATGTTAATGTCTATAATAGTAATGATGTCATCAGACACTTGTTTTTTTTCTTCTACCTTAACAGAGTTTAGGAGTGGACACTGCACAGCCTCCTTCCCCCAAAGTGACCAACAATGAATTTAGCTTTACAGTTGGTTTTAAAGATTTAAATGGTAAGTAACTGAATGGACTCTTCCATGTTTTTTATGCTTATTTAAAATACCTCACAGCAACAAATGAGAAGAAAAACATCATACGCTCTTGATGGAAAAAAAAGGCCCAAAACAAAAAATGTTTTGCTGGCAGGTGAGGTATATTTGTGTCTCTCAATTTAGGAAACTTCAAAAGAGCCAAATTTTTTTTAAAGGGACATTGTTCAGTGTTGTATAGGAGTCAGACTTTTTGAATTGTCTGAGTGTAGAGGAAAACAAAAGTGAGAAGTCCGCCGCATTACTTTGTAAAATGCAGCCTTTATTGTGTAAAGATTTAATTTAGTAGAAGACAGTTCCTCAGTGTGAGGTCAGAACTGGATAAGCGTTTTTGTTCAGTGGAAGTACCACCTTTTGCATGTACAGCTGCTTGTTGAGGCTGTGTGGCAAATCAAATGAGGTGAGTGTAAAACCAAACCAAATTCATCCAAGTGTAAAAAAAAAAAAAGAACCCTCCCTTTGGTTTTGTTTGCATTTTTTTTCTTCTTACTGGGGACTGGTTGTTTGCATTTGCCCGAGTTGGTTTTAGCCTGTGTTTTTGTTCCAGAATCAGTTCACTATTAAGCTACCTAATATCTCTCCCAGCAAAGTGGGTATGTAAATAGAGGGAGTCATAAGCCAACTTTCTCACTGAAAAGAAAAGCTTATGAAAATACTCTATTAGCATAACAGGTAAAGCAGAGTAAACTGAGATGGTTTAGTGACATATTCATACTTAGTCTGATGAATTATCTATTCTTTGTTGGACTATATTGGCATTTTTGAGTGTCTAGTTCAGCACTCTCCATCCCTTTCCAAAATTCTACTTAAAGATTTCTCGATTTGTGATGTTGTGTTTTTTGTTTGGTTTTTTTTTTTTTTAGCTGGACTCTTTGAAGATATTCAAACCGCTGAATCTGTTGGTTCTTAAAGAACCCTCCTCTTCTAGAAAGCTAAATAATCCTACAGGATGTTGTTTCACAGGATCTCTTATACCATGACTAGTTGAAACAACCAAAGAAGAAATTACATGTAAAGTTCCAGTATAGGATTTTATCTTAACCTCCATGGCAGGGGAGTTGGAACTAGATGATCTTTGAGGTCCCTTCCAACCCTAACCATTATATGATTCGATGATTCTGTGATTATACTCTGACAGAGTAGACGACAGAAAGCAAAGTTACAATATTTCTATCTGTTTGACAAGATGCTTTTGAAAAAGAGGCTGTCTTCTTTGTTCTTTTGCTTAAAGGATCTTCAAAATCCTGCATATTACGTGAGATATGTCACAGATGTTGATCACACAATTACTGATGTGCTACAAATAATACCATATAATTTCATGTGTCTCAGAACTCTCTGACTCTGCTTCTTGTTCATTTTAGAGTTGTAGAATAGTAGTAATACATGAAGATATTCTTGGTCTAGGCCTTGGTTTATTGTGTGCAATACTAAAACTTACTAAGGACTTATGTTATGTACCTAACTTAGGACAAGTAAGTAGCCTAATGGGAGCTAATGGAATTTCTTGTTTCCTTATCACTAAGCATGTGCCCAGAAACCTTGCTGGATCAGGGCCAGGTTTTGTAACATCATAAGGGCCTAAAACTGCTATCACTGAAAGTGAAGCTTCATGTCCTGTTGAATTTGTATTCGTAGAGTTCCTTGTACTCTGAACTTCAGTATGACCAGATTAATGGCTATTCCTAAAACACGTTTGTTTTCTTGAACCCATTTAAAATGTTGTTTGCTTTCCCAGAACCCTTACATCTTACAGTAACCATGCCTTCTGGAATTTAATCTCCACTGAACTGGGAACATAGTGTTTTTCTTTGCACTCACTCTGACACATTTTGTGATTTTCTTTACAGAATCCTTGAGTGCCCTAGAGGACAAAGACCTGGATGCTTTAATGGCTGATCTTGTAGCAGACATAAATGATGTTGAGCAGAGAACTTTACAAGCCCAGAAAACTTCTTCTGGCAACCAGCAAAGTGTGGTCACTCAACCTTCAACAGGCTTGGATAGTGACATTTATTCGAAATCAAGTCTTTATGTTACCATTACTGGACAATTTGGGGATGACTTGCCCCCTCCACCTCCAAACCCTGATTTAGACCTTCCACCACCACCACCACCACCTCCTCCTGAGCCATTGACCCAGGTAAGCCTGGATGGAACCTTGTTCTAAGCATTCAGTAATTCTTGTAATTTTGCAAATGGTATTTGGCATTGGAACAACAGTAGATATCTCAGGTAGAAACATCTTCGGAAGGTTCTGCAATGATGAAACGTGCATGAACTGCGAGTTTTCTGTTACTGTGGGCTCAGCAATTTCTGCCTGTTTCTTGACCTATTGCCCACTCCTTCACCTTTCTAATTATCATTTTGGTAGTCCAAGACAGGCATAAATCATTGCAAATGGTTTACTGTAACAGAAAACCTGTGACTCAATTTTTTTGACAAGCACTGATCAGTTAATACCTTCTTATAGAGAACTTTGCTTTGGCATCAGTGCAAAGCATGGCCAGAGATCCGACCATTTTGTGAAGATGTCACTATGTGTGTTCATTGCAGTCTGTGCTATTGGTGCTGATGAGATGATTCTGTGGATGTTTGCCAGATCCATCCCTGGCCTAACTGGGATAGGAAAAGCTGTTCAGTTGTGTAAAACTCAGTGTTTGCTAGGAGACTGGTGCAAGGCTGAACACAAGAATTACCTCTCCTAATCCCATCATGGAATCACTCTGCTCTTCTTGGTCTTGTCAGTTTTGCCAAAAAACATGGGCAATTCATTGCAGTTTAGAAGTCTGCACAAACTGAATATGAATCACCTTGACATCACTGGGGTCTCTGTGTTTAGCATCATATAGCAAACATAGTTATGAAAAGGAACAGAAAATCTGGTAGGAAGAGGATCTTTCTATATATAGAAAAAGTAATTCACTAGATGAAGCTTCATTTGATGTGTAGGACCTTTCAGTGCTGTTTGAAGAGTGAAAGTTGTAAACACGTGGGAGGAACTTCATTTTTCTGTGTCTCAAAGATAATAGTTAACTTCCTATCTTAAAGGAATATCAACATTTGCAAAACCAGCAGCTATACAGCTTCAGAAGCTGAAGCCTTTTGTTTAACTAGTATAATTGATACAGAAGAGATGCTGTCAAGGTAAGTTCTATCCATTGTTGTACAAACATGTTTCCATCTTAATTTAGACTCATGACCTTTAAAGAAGTACCAAGCTTCTAAATAGTCTGGTTTGGAAGCTGAGGAAGTACAGTCTGGAGGTGGTTAGGTGAGCTGAGATTGGCCAAAGTGCCAGACTGAAGGGGTAGTCATCAATGGTTTGCTGGCTGGTAACAGTGGGATCAACACTGAGGCTTGTATTCTTTAACATTTTCTTCTGTGACTTAAGTGATGACATAAAAAAATCATCTATGGATGTGCTGAAGATGCTTTTAATTAAGGGCACTAACTGACAAGATGAATGGCAGAACTTCAGTGCAGGGCGACCTTGAGAAATGTGAGGACTGGGCCAGCAAAACCCTCAGAAACCGAGCAAGATACAAGGTCCTGCACCTGGGGTGGAATAGCCCCATGCATTTGTATAGTTTGAGAGGCAACAGGCTGAGCAGTAGCCCTGCTGAAAAGGAGATGGCATCCTGGTGGATGCCACATTGGATAAGAACCATAAGTGCAAGATCATCTCGATATGGGAAGCTGGCCTGTGTTGAGAAGAGCATTGCCAGCAGACTGAGAGCACCATTATTCCTTTTTCCTGCCACTGGTGAGGGCACACTTGGAATTCTGCACTCCATTCTGGATGCGGAGAGCACTCAGCAGAGAGCTGCTGGGATGGCCAGGGGCATGGGGTGATCAGGGGCCAGCGAGGATGAGCTGAGGGAGCTAGGCCTGTTTAGTCTGACAGAGGAGGCTACAAAGTGACCTAGTGACAGCTTAAAAATAACTGAAGGGTAGCTACAAAGCTGGTGGAGCCAAATTCTTCCATGGTAGTGTTAGGTCATGTGACAAGGGGCAACATCTACATGTTGTAGCTTTGTGGTTTTGGACAGGACCTTAGGAAAACCTTTTCCATTTCAGGCAGTGGTGTAGCACTGGAACAGGTGACCCAGAGAGATCACAGATTTTCTTTGGAGGTTTTCCAAACTCATGGAAAATCATGACTGACCTGATCTAGTGTTGGTGCTCTTTCTTTGGAGGTTTTCCAAACTTTGCCAGGCAAAATCATGACTGACCTGATCTAGTGTTGGTGACAGTTCTGCTTTGGGTAGGGAGCCCACAGGGAGACTATGGACCTCCAGGCCTCTCTTCTGACCAGCACTTTTACGAAGCTGTGATCTAAAGCTCACTGAAGTCAACAGTGCTGCACAGTTCATTCCCTTGAGTTTTGTACTGAGCTATTCTGTTAGCTGGGATCCTGCATTACCTGAGAGTCAAACAGGATTTCAGAGTGAAAAGAGGATATACTTGCTAAAACAAAACTGGAATTCTATATGCAAAAATGTAGCTGGAAGTCACTTCTGTCTCCATCAATTAAAGTGTTCCTCTGAGATCATGTGCTGAGTTAAATCTCTAGCAGTGTTTTCTGGTCTCTTTCCAGACACAGTGAGAGGGCAGAGAAGGATGGGAACAGGAGGCAGAGGCATTTCTAAAGAATCTATCTGCAGTAGTTGATTTCCTCATTAAGGCACTGGTTCTGCTTTCTTCCGCAGTCCTTGCCTCATTTTCTGATGCAGGTTGTATTCAAATACTGATGGGTCACATTGTGTGGTTCATTGTCCTCAAAGTTGCCTATAGGGCTATTGCACATGCTGCAGTGTGAATGATGGAGATAATAACCATTTAAAATTAATATAGGAAGAACTTATTTCAAATTAATATTTACTGTCTTGGTTAGTATTTGCTTTGAGAAGACATTTCTGATCAGTGGAATGAAATGCTGTGGTAAATGGAATGTATTTTATTTCATCAAAATCCTTGTTCCTGTTAGCCGGGATTCTCGCTAAGTGATTCTTGACCCAATCGAGGCTGACGTTTTGTTTAACACTTCTGGTTGTCTGTAGTCAAATAAAAATAGTGTTAATATTTTCAATGCAACTGTGATGTTAAGACTCTATTCTCTAACCTTTAAGTGTGCCATAAGAAGTACGGCCTTTCCTTCAGGGAAGCCTAGTCTTATAAGTTTCTATCAACTCTGACTTTTCTTTTTGAAACTGTCCTTAAGCTAAATAAGTCATCTACATTTCCTGTGACAATATCAGGATGACTTTTATGTAGTTCTGTTTGAAAATCCAGAAAACGTGGTGATGATACTATAGAGGAGAATTGTTCTACTAGAGAAGCTGTTTTTGGATTGTCAAAATTAAGCATCTGTAAGATGTAGCAATGCAAGTTTCCATACCTGTGAAGAAAAAAAAAAAAAAGACATTCTTTCACTGATTGCCTGGTATTTATAGCAGAGAATCTGACAACAGCAAACATGCTTGAAGCCATCTCTTTCAGGTTGCACACCTCACCTTGTATTTTTGACATCCTAAAGGATGCTAGTATCCAGGGAAAACTGATAAAAGATATTTAGTTCAGTGAGGAGTAGTTTAGTTATGGTTGAACCTGCCTCAAAGCTTGGGATGAATAAGATAACTTTCTTAGCTCTTTTTTTGCTATGGTTCTGTGATATACCTGTAAGAAGGAAGCAGTGGCAATGCTTAGTTAGGCCTAGTTTCTTGCAAGTGCATCTCCCATGAGTTACAGCCACCCTGGATTTCTTTTAGTCCAAAGACCACTAAAATTACGACTTTACGGTAGAAAATGGTGACTGAAGGTAACACAGAGAAAAATTTTGCCTGGAAGCAGGGCAGGAACTTTCTCCTACAGTCATTGACTGGAAGTTGGGTGTTCCTGTGAGTACCATAGCACAAAATCCTACCCCTTTAAAACAAAGGAAACTGAAAGTGAGAGCAAGAGGGACAATAAAAGTCAGCAAAGAGACAAGGAAGCAAAGACAAGTCAGTTTTCAATAGGAGGAGCAGGAATTTAAAGTTGGAAAGAAACCGAATCCTCCAGTAGTACTAACAGTCTGAGGGAGCCCCAGGAACCACAGTCATTTGCTGTCTAAAATGTATTTTTCCAACTCTGTCTGTGACCAGGAGAGACCACTGTGAGACAGATGGCAAAAAGAAACGGTCCCAATCTATACACCAGTCACAGAGGCAACAGTAGGCAGTGACATCTGGTACAGGTATCTAAAAACTCTGAGCACCTGGGGATCCAGTCTTCTTGGATCACAAACCTCACTGATATTGAGAGAGAGGCATGATATTGATACAGCTGCTTTGTAAAAGAAGAGCCAGGTGACACTGGGATCTTTAGGAATCTTACTGTGGCAGTCAGCAAAAGCTGGAATGAATTTGAGTGCTCCATCTAACTGCGTTATGAATAGGTCCATCACTAGAATAAAAAGCTATGATATCATCCAGTTTCAGGTGGTATTCCTCTCAGTAAGTATGAGTGCAGTAAGAGCTCATATGTTGCAAGTGAAAGAATTCAAGTAAATTCATGGACTTAACAGAAAGTGTAAAATTATAAGTGGTATAATTGCAAGCCAAGGTTTCAGTAAGGTCCTAAAAATTCTAGTTCTCAACCCTATTAAGAGGTGAGTTTTCTTCCAAGTGGTTACGTCCACAGTGCTGCTTCATTCAGACTAGATCTTCCTTCATCTTCTCTTTTGTGTCAGCTGTAACGCATATGGAAGCATAGAATAGGCCAGTTTTCAGGCATTCCAGTAGCATTTGAGGAACAGATCATGTAAGATCTGTATGACTGGGCAACAAAAGGAAGCACTGGACTTATAAATCAGAGCTTTCGCTTGAGGATATTAGCTCAAACAATGCTGGGGATTCCCTGTAGCTATGAAGTTTCCCATGGCAAGCTTTGTTCTGCACATAAATAACAAGAAACAACTCTTTTCCAGTGAACATAAATTGCTGATGCTGCTTAAAAAGTATACCAAATATCTTGTGTCTTTTCAGGAAGAACAAGAGGCACAGGCTAAAGCTGACAAGATTAAACTTGCATTGGAGAAGCTGAAAGAAGCCAAAGTTAAAAAGGTGAGCCTTAAAATCGTGAAATGCTACCATAAGAGCTACCAGCTAAATATCTATTATGATTCTTCTCAATAATAAAGTTCTTACTAAAATCACTAAGCTTTTTCATTTTGTCTGTAACTTGAGACATCTAAAGATATTCTGTGGACCTGTCTTGTCATCCTCTTGAAGAGAAGTCTCTGGGTGAACGCTACCTTTGAGGGACTTATTTTTAAGAGGACTTGGAAGGCTTTGCCTCTTTTTTCCAATGTCGGGGCAAAGCCCTCTCTTCTGACAGGCTGCTTTAGAGGAAGTGGAATGTACATCATAATGTTGCTTACTTATACTGTGTTAATTCCAGAAGTGTTAAACTTTTCTTCGAGTGGATGTGGATTTAGCTAATCACAATTAAATTAGTGAGGGTCTTCCTGCTAAATCCTCTCACAGCAGTGTAGTAACATACAAGGATAATAGAAATTATTTTAGACCAACAAATTAGAAAGCTTCCAGCCAGTGTCTGCACAGTGCTGCAGTGTGTCATGTAATTAAGTCCACTCATCCTAAGCTAGTGTTCCGGCTGAACTCAACAGAAGCTGAAGATGTGCAGTAACTTTGAAGAATACATGTGAAGACAAAACAATCACGACCTTTCAGTCTTGCTCAAAAAGGAGATGGGAAATGCTGGAGATCAGAGCTCACAGGGCTTCCAAGAAGAATTGAAGCTTCCAATAAATTTGAGGGTGTCCAGACTTGAGATGGTTCCCACAGAACACTTTACATTCATGTATAAATGCTACTTCTGAGAGAACATGTTGGGGGATTTCACCAGTGTTGTCTTTGGAAGGCTCTGTAACTAAACTTATGAACTGGCCACTCTCTTTTCCTTGCAATATTAGCAATTCTCCTTTGGGAGGTAACATTTATTTTGAAGATGTAGTGGTTTAGGCCGCTCCGCTCCGGCAACTAAACCCTACACGGTCGCTCACTCCCCCACCCCCAGGGGTGAGGGAGAGAATCAAAGAAGAAAAAGGAGACCTGTGGGTTGAGATAAGAACAATTTACTACTACCGCTACCAATATATATATGTACGAATTATGTACAAGGATAAATATATACAAACGAGTGATGTATGGTGTAATTGCTCACCACCCCTTGATCAAGGCCTGTGTCGTCACGAAGCTGCAATCCCGAAATAGATAAAACCCAATACCGCAATCCCGGATGAACAGGAGGCACAGAGAGAGAGAGAGAGAGAGAGAACACTCTGAGAGTCTGAAAGTGAGAGTCCCGGAAGGGCAAAAGCCCTTCTTTCCAGCTGACCCTCACTTTTATACTGGGCATGACACTGCATGATATGGAATACTAATTGGCCAGATTGGCCCTCAATCTTAAGTTCAAGTACAAATCGTAAGGAGAGTCGTGGACCCTTCGTCCCGGCTATGCTCCCCCCCTTATCCTGTTGTGCTCCTGCACACTGGCAAGAACATGGCAAGCTGAACAGTCCTGGAGACCTCAGTGCCAACTACAAACATCAATGTGCTATCAACATTCTTCTCAGAGCGAGCCTCTGAGTTAAAACCAAAACACGGAGCTAAAAAGAGCTAACTCTGTCCCAGCTAAAACCAGGACAGAAGACTTGCCCCCCCCCTTTTTTTTCCCCTGTATTTGGAACCATAGGGTAGAAGTAAGGCTTAATCTTCTTGTGGCTACGTCACTATAATGAAATTACCATGTTGTTCTTGAATTCTAAATTGACTAAATAATTGTCAAGAAAACTGGTCATCTCTCCTCTACTGAAAGTGGAGGGCAGAAGCCAGGGAGGACAGTGAAAAAGCAAGCTCACAGCCCTGGTCTTCAGGAGAGCAGACTTTGGCTTCTTCAAAGATCTGCTTGGAAGACTCCCATGGGATAAGGCCCTGGAAGAAAGAGGGGTCTAAGAAGGCTGGTTAATATTCAAGGATCACCTCCTCCAGGCTCAAGAGAGTTCTATCCCAATGAATGAAGGGCCACAAAGATGACTAAGGAACTGGAGCATCTCTCCTGTGTGGAAAGGCTGAGATAGCTGGAACTGTGTAGCCTAGAGAAGGCAAGGCTCTGGGGAGATCTTGTCAATCTACAGAAATACTTGAAGGGAGGGTGCAAAGGGGACGGAGCCAGGCTTTTTTCAGTGGTGCATGGTGATAGGACCAGAGGCAATAGGCACAAACTGAAACACAGGAGATTCTTCCTGAACATCAAGAAACACTTTTTCACTGTGAGGGTGACTGAGCACTGACAGAGGTTTCCCCGAGAGGTTGTGGAGTCCTCCCTCCCTGGAAATATTCAGAAGCCAGCTGGACAGGGTCCTGGACAATGGGCTCTAGGTGGCCCTGCTTGAGCAGGGGATTGGACTGGATGACCTCCAGATGTGCCTTCCAGTCTCAACTGTTCTGTGATTCTGTGAAAATGGAAGCTGCATGCATGTTTTTGAGCAGTCAACTATGATCAGATAAAAATACCTGTCTTTCCCTAGACATTTTGTAGATTATTCATGTGTGACATTTCTTTTTATCTATAATCTGCACTATGGCTCAGCTGCTTATTTTAGAGAGGAAGATACTTACAAGGGTTGGAATCAAAGCAAGTGCATGTTTTTTGTTACTTTTACTTTTCAGAGATAGTGTAGATTTTCTCTTGGAGATCATCACTCTCTGCTGCTACCTGATCTTTAAGAGAGATTGTCTCTAATGCACCAAAGTTTTTTAGGCACACATTTTCGAATAAGGAGCTATTTAAACAAGACTATATGGAGAAGTCCTCTCAGCTCACCCATTTATTTTCAGTTTCCATGTACGGATCCTGTAGACAATTTTTCTTCTGTTTTCAGTGCTAGCAGAGCATTTTAAGTAGTATCCTTGTAATGTATTTGCAGTTCTTTATCACATTGTATGTACTTCAGCATTTTCTTGCATTGTTCCTCTCTGAAAAAAGTGCATGCTGTTTCTCATTTAAAAAATATTTCACAATATGAAGAAATAATGAATGTCTTGGGTTAATTTGGTCAACGTAAATAACTCACCTGTTTTCTAATTGGTGGGTGTTGGACCACTGCCCTTCTTAACACAGTCTGATTTCAGGTTGGTCTTTTAGCATGGCAAGATTCCTCCATTCTTTTTTTCATTTAAAACTAAACTTGCCACATTTCTAGCCTGCATTAATGACACTCTGTCCTTTTGTACTCGGTTTCCCTATGAAGCATTTTCCTTAGTCGCACATCTAGTAGATTTAGAGAAGAGATTAACTTCTGCTTTTTCTGCATAGCAATTTCACCGTTCCTGTAGTCATGCACAGGGCAAGGTTCAATTTCCTTTTTTGAGAAAAGGTCTTTGTTTTGGTGGCAATATAATGTGAAAGCTTCCAAGCTGTTTTATTCCCTCACCTCACTGTGGGAAAGGGCGCCTTTGAATCAGTAATAACCTTCAGCCTTAATCTTTCTTATCTGTGTTAGCAGATTCAGAGTAGCCTTTTACTTGCTTATGAAATTAACTGACTCTTCTGTGACTCTGTACTCAGCTTGTTGTCAAGGTGCACATGTACGATAACAGCACAAAGTCACTAATGGTGGATGAGCGTCAGGTGACACGGGATGTTTTAGACAATCTCTTTGAGAAAACCCATTGCGACTGCAACGTGGACTGGTGTCTGTATGAAATGTACCCAGAGCTGCAAATTGGTAAGTGGCACAGTAACAGAGCATATAGCAAATAGATATAGTGCATCTTATGCTATCGGTAATCTTGAAAAGATAATTAATAACTTTTCTTCTGCTTATGTGGCCCCTGGTGTTGAAAGATTGCAGTCTCTAAGCTGAGGAATGCT